AAATGTTATGATACCATTTTCATAAGATTTACAAATTATGTGATGTTATATATTAATTGTAGGAACATCATATATGGTAAAAGGATGGAGAACTGTGAGAAAAAATCATCATTAATAAATGTAATTAGAGTAACAGTTACTTTTCATGTAAGTGAAAACACAGAGACAGAAATTCAGCTAAATCTGTAATATTTTCTTCCTTTTTTTTTTCTTTTTGTTACTGGGGATTAAACCCAGGGGTGCTTTACCACTGAGATACATTCCCATTTCTTTTTATTTTGAGACAGGGTTTCACTCGGTCTCTGAGGGTCTTGCTAAATTGCTGAGACTAGCTTGGAACTTGCAATCCTCCTGCCTCAGCCTCCTGACTTGCTGGGATTACAAGTGTGTGCCACTGTGTTCAGGTAATATTTCTTAAAAGAAAGGTCCCAAGAAAATATAGTAAAATGTTAAGACTCAACAAATATAAATGTTAGGTATAGGGTATTTTAAAATTTATTCTCTTTATTTTTAGCACTTTTAAATTATTTGATAATGTTAAAAAGACAACCCAATAAACATCTTAGTCTCCTCCACTAAGCAAATGTGAACCCAAAGGTATTTTACATCCAAGACAAATTGTATCACCACAGTAACCACTAAGCATTTATTGAATACCAGTTATAGCTATACATTTTTATTAACTAGTAAATAACATCCTGAGTTAATTGTTTCAGATGTCACTGTTGATCATATGCTATCTTCTTTCAGACTAAAATATTACTAATCTTTGTAAATGAATATGTGCTTTGACATGATGTTTTAGAAATTGGCATGGGTTTAAATTGGCCAGTTCTGCTTTCTGGGGGAAGATAGTTAATCTGGGCAAAATAATTTACTTTCCCTTTTCCTAAATTAACTGCCATATATGGTAATTAAACCAGAAACCTTCTTAAAAATAAGCTAAATATATATTACAAATATTAAAAATATATATTAAAAATAAGCTAAACTATATATTTTCTCCTGTCTACGGTGGGAGATTCTCTGCATTACCCAGGCTTTGGAAAGGCTTCTAAGAGAAATGAAGAAAATTAATGGATCTGTTGTACCAAGATTTATGAGACCCTGCAGAAGGTTTGAAACAGAATAGGAGGAGCTACAGAGGGGCTAAAGCAATTGTGTTGGCTGAGTATTCTGTTCTGTCTCATATCAAGTCAAAGGCATTCTAACTTGTTGATGGTGGTTCAGACCATGTGTGCTAACATTAAAACCTACAACTAAAATAGAAATTACTTAAAATGGTCCTCTTATTTTAAGTGATACACTCTGATATTTTCTATTCTAATATCATATATATCAGTGACCAAAAAGGCCTACATAATCCCCTTTATTGATTTCACAATCCCCAAAGATTCGTAAATCAGCAAGTTGTTCATAAATTCTTTGTGATTCTTGTGCTCAAAAGTCCTGGGTTACATTAATATACCAAACTTACTTAGAAATCTTATATTACTCTATGCCTAGAGAACTTTTTTCCTACAGAAAATTCCTGTCAATGGAAAATATTATTTTTAAATCATTAATAAAACATCACCAAGTAAGAGAACATTAAAACACATTTTTATTACTTAAATATTTCATCTTTTCCTATCCCCAGGTTTACCTTACTCTGGTAAGACAGGAAAACACATGTCAAATGGCGATGTTTGCTATCTAGAAAAGAGTAAAAATGACTAAGACACAATGTCATGGGAAATATTTTACTTATAAATGGAGTAACAAGGGACTAAATCCAGAATATTTAAAAAGAACTTTGAAAAGAAGAGAGGATGGGGCAATAAGAAGATAAACATTTTTGATCGATAAAGCTCTTAGCTTCATACTTTCAAAGAACCATAGACAGATCTGTAGGTAATTCATTGCTCATCCTTAGAGAAGGCAAAATAGTCAAACTATACTTTATTGATTCCTTATGGCTAAAGTTCCCTCACAATATCCCAGCCTCCAATTTATTTTAGCTAAAATATAGAGAAATAAATGGTGAATATTTAATAAATAAATATTTCACCAAATAACTCAAGCCCTGCCACTGAGCAGATACCCGGGTCTATACCTGATACATTATTTGCTGAACTTACTTCTCTGAATATATCCAGTGGATTCCAATGATTTAGCATTTAACCAAATTCTCACAATTATTTTATGTATAAAAAATCTCAATCCTTATCTGTGATTCAACTTGAACATTATGAGACATAGGTACAAGGTCCTAAAGATCAGATATTCTGAAGTTGACACTGATTCAAGAACACAGGGTTAAGGGGGTAAGCAAAACATGAACAGAGTTATAATCATACCTATCTTACATACTTTTATTATGTAGATTGTGTTATTTTACCTCAATCAAAATTATAGCCTAATGTTATGATCATTGTGTGGTTCTATTACAGGTTTAATAGCATCGGCAATAGAACAATACAAAGCAATCAGGTTTCTGGATGAATTATTACATTGAACTTTTCATTGTTTAAAAATGTGATTGTGTTTTATAAAATTTTTTGCCAAATACAGAATTATCATTCAGTTCTATTAATGGTTCAAAACTCTCCTTGGCTACCAATGTTCTAACTTTTAAAAAGACACATTAATATTTTCTCTGGCTCAAAAATCAATATGAGGATGAATTATTTTTCTGGTCTGTAATATATTGATGAAGTTTGAGTCTGGTAAACTTGACTGTTCATTGGAATCACCTGAGAAACTTTAAAAATTACAACCTGTTACCTACCCCCAGATCTTATTAATTAGTACAGGAAATGGCTTAGGGTGGGGTCTTTCAAAAGCTCTGCAGTTAAGTTTAATAAACACTGATCTAAACTCTAGATATTCAATGAGAGGTCTGAGAATCAGGAGGGAACACTTCACCTGGGAACTTGTTAGAAAGGCAGATGCTTTAAATGTTCTCCAGCCCTACTCTATGAGATCCATCTTTTCAGGGTCTCTGATTTAACCAACCTAGAATCCTTTATATATATATTTATAAAATTCATGAATATATATGTTTATATTAATGCATTATATATGTATATGTATATATGTGTATATTGGAAGATTTATTTTGTATCATCGTTTGGACAAGTCAGTCCATGTTTGGTTGACTCCATTGGTTTGGATCTGTGTTGAGACAGTACATTATGGTAGGAGTGCATGTGGGGGAAATCCTATTAACCTCATGGCCAGGAGAGAGAAAAAGAGAGAGAAAGAGAAAGAGAAAGGAGAGAGAGAGAGAGAGAGAGAGAGAGAGAGAGAGAGAGAGAGAAGGGAAAGAGGAAGAGAAAGAGGAGGGGAGGAGGTGGGATGACACAATCCCTTCCCGCTGCCTAGAATTTCCTTTTCCTTTTTCCTTTCTCATTGGGACTCTTTCCATCACTTAAGACTTAGGCAAAATATCACTGTCTTTTCTGAAGCATGTCCAAGAAACAATGCATCTCTACTTTAAAATTCTATTGTCATTATAATCACTTCCACAAAATTTATCACATTGCTTGTTTCTATTAATACACATATAGTATCTCTCCCCCAACTAAATTATAAGGATTTTAAATGAGGAATTATGCCATGTTCCTTTTCTATCCTAATCTAATACTTTAAGTGAATTACATATTGTTTAAATGTATACGGTAAACAAAAATAAATCTTCATCAATCTCACAAGATTACTTATTTGAAACTAGCCCATCATTAACTTTTCCCCACAATGGACCCTCATCATTATTCACCTCACACATTTAGGGAGTCACAATCAGCTGTGCCTGTTTTATTACTGCTGCCCTATCAGGCTAATGATAAAACCACTTAAAATAGCATAGAAACCCTACAGAAGAAAATCCTGCTTATTAGTCCTTATTAGTCCTAGACTTCTCATTCTCACATTCTTTAGTTCCAAGCCTGTCTTATTTACTATTACATCTTAGTGTTTCACACATGCTGCCCTTATAAATGAATTATAAATAGTATTTCAACAAGCTATGAAAGAACAAAATGTTCTAAAGTATACTATAAGCTCATGATAACATTTGGAAATATGATTTTTCATGAGTAGTTCCTATATATACTTTCTTGATATTTTTATATTTTGACATCATACAAATAATGCATAGTCATTGTAGAAAATACAGGTTCAGTAAAACGAAAAATATATGCATCTGAAATCCCTAAAATGGCTTAACCTAAGCATAACTACTGTGAACAATAGTTGCATGTCTGTTCAGATAATCAATTTAAATATATAAACATATATGCTAAGTATATAGATTTTTAAGCAAAGATCACACTCTACGGCTACATGGCCTACTTTTATTCAGTTAAGTATATATGAAAACATAACTTCAACCAGCAAATAAATTGATAAAAAATTAATTTCTGTGCCAGGTGTGGCAGTGCACACCTGTAATCCCAGTGGTTTGGGAGGCTGAGACAGGAGGATGGCGAGTTCAAAGCCAGCCTCAGGAATGGCGAGGTGATTAGCAACTTAGTGAGACCCTGACTCTAATAAAATACAAGATAGGGCTGGGGATAAGGCTCAGTGGTTGAGTGCACCTGAGTTAAATCTCTAGTACCAAAAAAAAAAAAAGAATTAATTTCTGATGGTTGCATGAATGATATCAAATTTATATAATCACCTATCTTTGGATGAGAAAACTATTTCCATTTGGGGGTAATTACAAACAATGACATAATGAATATTACCCATCATAAATATATTTTTTCTAACAGTTCTTTAATAAAAATCAGGAAGTAGGATTGCTCATTTCAAAATTTATACATATTTTTAGGGCCTGTGATTTTAAAAACGGGCCTTTAGAAGTTTTCACTTTATAGCCTTTCACTAGGCATTGAGTTGTCTAAAATTTAATCATTTAATCAACTAGCTATATTATGTATGTATAACATTTTTTACAATCATGAACAAGTAGTATATAATATAATGAATAATTGATGCATTTGGAAAATACTCACATTCTTTTTGAGGACAAGTTTCATTTTGAAGAGACCGGAATTCATAATATGATATCTCATGTTTGAATATGGATGTAAGAATGCCATCAAGCTCTTCGATGTCATTCTGTTTTCAAATGAAAAAGAAATTTTTCATTAGTTGAATTATATACACAGAATCTCAGCACAATATAGTTAAAATTTATTAGCTAGCATAAATAGTGAGTAGTGATAACAGTAATATATTACAGTAATTTAGTAACAGTGATAACTTGAAAACTGATTAAAAAATAATGTGAAACATGGCTTGCCTAAAAAGCAATTCTTAATGTAATAGGAAAGCTGATATAGGAAATAAAAGTGTTTGCTTTTGGATAAGACACTATATTTAGATACGAATTTTGAAACAGCATTACAACAGGTCAACGATAGCATTGAAATTTTTCCAATAATAAATTCTGATAAAATATATTTTTCATTAAATAGTAAAATGATGAGTCTTATTAAACTTAAGGATCAGACATGGGATGGTCTTACTAGAGTATATTATTTCTGTGTCTAGGTAAGTTACAACATTCATCTCTGACTTCTTGCTTGCCATGAGTAACTACCTATTTGGTAGAAGTTATGCAGTATTCGGGTGTTCTGCTACCAATGAAATAACCTGTTACGAAGACCAGCATTCTTTTAAAATTGGGTCGTATCACAAATGAATGTGAAATATCTCATGTGCATGTATTATAAATGAAGAAGTGGATAAAGGTAATTGAAAAACAGAAAGCTAACATTTCTATACTTCACCAAAAGGGCTAAAATGAGGATACCAGGCGTCTATGGTAAATTATGCTATATAATACTGACAGCAACTACTAAAAAAGATGTACCAAAAGTACCAGTGATGAATTAAAATGGAGTAGGTATTTTTTTAAGTTTAAGTAGCATACAAGAAGGAAAGAAAACGGAGACATTAATACAAAGGGAAAAATAAAATAAACAAAATAGTAACTAAAACTCTAATATATCATTTTTACATTAAATGTAAATGGTCTGCATAGATGAAGAAAAAACCCAGAGTGATAGAGTAGATTAAAAACCATGACCTAAATATATTATTTTTTTTAAGAAACTCACTTTACATTAGCAAGGCAGAAATGTTGAAAATAAAAAGATTTCCAAAAATATATATTGTGCAAGTATTACAAAGGAAAGCAAAAGTGGCTGTTTTAACGTGAAGTAAAGTAGATATCAGAGCAAAGAAATTTATAGGAGACAGAAAGGGACATAATACAATAATAAGACATTCAATCCATCTAGAAAAACGTAATACAAGTAGGTGGCAAAGAACAAAACTACGAATTATGTGCAGACAAATTGAAAGTACCGAGAAGAGAAACAGTCAAATTTAAAATGACAAGCTGGAAACTTGAATACTCCTCTTTCAATGACTGATAAATTAGACAGAAAATTATCAAGAACATGAAAAATCTCCAATACACACCTAATGATCTAACCAATCAGCATCTAATTAACATACATTGACAACTGTCCAACAACTGCAGAATACCTCAATCATTTCAAGGGCCCATGAAACTAATACCACCTTGGAGCATATCCTAGGACATAACACAAACACTAACAAATTTTAAATGATTTAAATCATAGTGTACTTTCTTAGCACATGAAAGAAAATTAGAAACCCATAACAGAAAGATACTAGGAAAGTTTCCATATATTTATAAAATAAAGAACAGATTCATAGTAATCTATAAGTCAAAGATGAAGTCCGAACTGGATGATTTTGTATCCTGCTACATTGCTGAATTTGTTTATCAGATATGGAAGTCTTCTGGTGGAGTCAATAGGGAAGTCTAAGTACAAGATCCATATCATCTACCAATAGAGATGATTTAACTTCTTCCTTTCGTATTTGCATGTCTTTTATTTCTCATCTTGCCTAATTGTTCTCACTACAATTTCAAGCACTATGTTAAATAGCAATGACGAGAGTAGATATTCTTGTCTTGTTCCTGAGTTTCGAGGACATGCTTTCAGTTTTTCCTCATTTAGTATGATATTAGCTTTCGTTTGCCACACACAGCCTTTATATTGCAGTCAGTTCCTCCTATTCCTACAATCTTGAGGGGTTCTATCATGAAGTATTGTTGAAGTCTGTCAAAGGCTTTTTCTGTATTTATTGAGACAATCATGTGATTTTTGTCCTTGACTCTATTTATGTCCAACAATCAATAGTTGGACAAATGAATTGTGAATGTTGAACTATACTTGCATCTAGGGATGGAATCAACTTGATTATGATGGATAATATTTTTAATGTGTCCCTGAATTCAATTTCCAAGTACTTTGTTAAAGATTTTTGCATGTACACTCACAATAGCCTCAAAAAAAAAAAAATGAAGTGCCTTGGTATAAATCGAACAAAGGAGGTAAAGGATTCCTACAAGGAAAGTTACAGAACACTGAAGAAGGAAATGGAAGAAAACACTAGGAGATGGAAAGATCTCCATGTACATGGATAGGCAAAGGATATATAGTTAAAATGGCCATAATAACAAAAGCAATCTACAGATTCAATGCAATTCCCATCCAAATACCAATGACATTCTTCAGAAACAATTCTAGAGACAAAACAATCCTAAAATTTATGTGGAATAACAAAGACCCAGAGTAGCTGAAACAATTCTGAACAAAAGGAGCAATGCTGGGGACAACCCAATGCTCAATTTCAAAAATGGGGCCATAGTAACAAAAGCAGCAGAGACTGGCATAAAAACACATGTACACCAGTGGAAGGGAAGTAAAGACTCAGACACAAACCACATAGATACAGCAATACGATTCTTGATAAAGGTGCCAAGACCAAAAACTTTGGATAAAATACAATGTCTTCAACAAATGTTATATACGGATATCTCTATATAGAAGAATGCGGCTAGATCTCTATTTCACTCTGCAGGAAAATCAACTCAAAATGGATGAAAGACCTAGGAATTGGTCCAGAAATCTTGAAACTTCTAGAAGAAAACATGGTTAGCATTCCAACCTGTAGGCACAGGCAACCCCTTCCTCAATAGGACTGCTAAAACACTGAACTAATACCAATAATTAATGAATGGGATGACATCAAATTTAAAAAGCTTCAAGCAAAGGAAACAATTAACTGTGAGAAAAGAGAGCCTACAGAATTGGAGAAAATGTTTGCCAGATACTTTCCCAATGAAGGATTAGTATTCAGAATATTTAAAGAACCCACCAAACTCAACATCAAAGAGTAAATAACAATCAATAGTTGGACAAATGAATTGAAATTCTATCTCACTTCAGTCAGAATGACAGTCATCAAGAATAAAATAACAGTAAATGCTGGTAATGATGGACTGGAGAAAGGAACACCTATCCACTGTTGTAAGGATGTAAATCATTACAACCACTGTGGAAACCAGAATGTCTCTGAAAATATGAAAAAATGATATTATTGTATAATCCATTCATACCATTCCTCCGTATTTATCTAAAGGAATTAAAACCAGAATACTTTAGGAGCATACATATCCATGTTTGTCACAGCATAATTCACAATATCCAAGTAATGGAACAAATCCAGGTGACTGTCAGCAGATGAATGCATAAATACAATGTGATATGCTTGTGCAATGGAGTTTAATTCAGCCATAAAGAAGAACAAAATTATGTCATTTCCAGAAAAATGAATAGAACTGGAGAACAGCAAGTTAAGTGAAATGGCCAGACCCAGTGTCATATATTTTCTCTGATATGTGGAAGCCAGTGGTAGAAAAAAAAAGTAGTGTGTGTCTCATAGAAGTAAAAGGGAATCCATTAGGGTAAAGGAAGAGGGCCAGGGGTGGAAGGAGCAGAGAGTAAGGGAAAGTACTGAGCAGTTAAAATGATTAAATTATGTTACACTTATGTATTAATATGCCACAATGAAACCCACTATTCAGTATAATTAATATGCACCAGTAAAAATCTAAATAACAGAACCACTGAATGAAAGTCAAGAAACTGAAAGTATAAAACAATAGAGAAAAATCAATGTAACAAAGAAATGATTCTTTTAAAAGATCAACAAAATTGACAAACATCTAGCAAGACTGACAAATAAGGGCTGGGGATATAGCTCAGTTGGTAGAGTGCTTGCCTCACATGCACAAGGCCATGGGTTCAATCCCCAGCACCACTCCCACCCCCCCAAAAAAAATGACAAAGAAAAAAATACATATGACGAATTTCACAAATGAAACATAAGCTATCACTACAGACCCTACATATATCAAAAGCACAATAGGGGAATCCTAAAAACAATCCTACATTCATAAATTTTGACAATACTCATGAAATGAACGAAATTCTTTAAAAACACAAGCAATAATAACATATAATTCTTCTCTTTCAACTATCTGTGAATGTATAATTGTCTAAAAATTGAAAATTCAATTAAGTACAAATAATCCCCCAAAATATTAATTATAAAGAAGCTGAATTCCTTGAGATGAATAGATTTATATTTATGAACAGATGAATAGATGTATAGAGCAGTAGCCCTTCAAACTCAAGATCATTCTTTTTTTGAAAGAGGGATAGCAACATAGTTTGGGATGACAGCACTGAGAGACTATTGGGAAGAGGACATTATGGCAACACCATACACTGTGCACAATGAGGGTGTTTTGATCATTGACATGGTGTGAAAGGTCACATGGCATTAGCTTTTTGATAAGTCTATGCAACAAAGAGAGGCAGAATGTTTGAGTAGTAGCGATAATTGCCATGTGTTGAGCATTAATAATATGCTAGGCTTTTTATGATTTATCTCTAATTTGTGTAACATTATGCAAGGTAGAACACTTTTAAATGTCTACTTTTATAGATGTGAAAATCAGGAGACCAAAAAAATTTTGGTCACACCCAAAATTATAGAGCAAATAAATGGAAGAATAAGGATTTCTAACTTAGGACTTTACCCTCTAAACACATTATATTTGATATACTACATTTAAACCATGGGGAAAGAGTGAATATGAAATATTATTTGAGTAAAGAATAAATCACAGTCCTCTGGTATTAAGATGATCACTGTAGTTCCAAATA